TTGAGCACAAAAATAATCATTTTGAAACTAATCTGGGTGGATAATTGTTGCCCTGCTTGCAGCATCTGGCTGAGTTGCTATGAACAATCCAAGCAAATGACTCTGACTCACTTTAGGGAAGCTGAAAAGTATCCGAAACCTGATGAAGAATATTTGTTCCTTCATAACAGGATTCCCGTTGAGCTGCACAAAGACGCTGGTTATTGGTACTGATGTTTGGTGTGATGTAAGTGGATTAAGCTGGAGCTGTAAGCTCCTTAACGATGAACGTATAGGTGTTGGGCAGCAACACACAAACAAGAGTAGATTTTGCAAGGATTAGTTTCAAACATCCATCAAATGTGTCTACTAGATGCCTGGTGGAGGCATAATAAAGGAATCAGTGCAACCACTGAGCTTGCCAATTATCAACGCCGTTCTGGACGTCATCGGCGGGCCGTTGTGAGACGTTTGTGTGCAACTATATAAAATGCCTTCCAGGGAAAAACAAAAGCTTAATTACCAGAGTACGAGGAGCTTTGATTCATCACTCATAGATGAATTAATATATAATTCAACAGCAGAGGAAAAAAATCTGACTCAGCATGGTTTGGATGACACACACACACACACACACACACACACACACACACACACACACACACACACACACACACACACACACACACACACACACACACACACACACACACACACACACACACACACACACACACACACACACACACACACACACACACACACACACACACACTAAATTCTACTTGCTAAAACTGGAGTGCCACACATTTTCCCCCACAGAGAACAATTCACAAGGCATTTATTCTTGCTAGGACACACAGCAAATGTATAGAAATAATGAGTGAATGACTCCTTTAACCAGAAATGAGGAAATCTATAGTTCTGTGAGATCAGTCAAACTCATCCATGATCGGTATCTGCAGTTCACCGTGCAAGAATCAAAAATTGGTATTGGCCCCCAAAACCAGAATCTGTCCATCACCAGCAGGAAGATGTTGAGCAAAGACACAAAAGTTTCACTTTGTGGCCGTAACTAAAGGTGAGTCCTACCGAAATAGTTAAAAATCAAGGAAAATTTAAATGAAATTGATTCATATTAAATAAAAACTGTACATTTTCAGTGTTTTACAGTTGGACAATGAGCATTTTTGCAGTAGGACTTCTCTGGTCTTAAATCCTCCGGCTTTCTCCCTCGCCTGCTGCACTTTCTTTTACCTCACATGAACCGGCTGAGGACTACAAGCAAAGCCTCAGCTGCGTTACTCTTTGCCTCATCAATCCGGCTCTCCAGCAGCCATGAAATGAGCCATGTGTCAGGAGCACAGAGCAGAAAGACAAGAGAAGGTTTATAAACTCCGTTTCCATTCGTGACACTCTTCCTCTGGATATAAAGTGACTCACAATATCAAAACTCTGGCTTTGCAGGATGATTAAAACATTTTCTTAACTGCAAGAATTCTTGGATTTGCTGAGCAGGAGGGGTAAAGTGAAGATGAAATTGCATTTAAGCCGAGCTGTCACGTCGGACCACCACATTAATTAGCTGCTGCTGGTGACATAAGAGCCCAATAATCAGCTCCAGCATGGAGTTCCTCAGCATATGGTGCCACCTTAATCTGCAGCCTCCATCAGACAGGTCTGGTTTGATCCATCTGCAAAAACGCTTGAAAGCAAAACGCCTATGCATCCACTTAGAGGCACCTGTGGGAACAAAACAGCCTAAATGAAGAGATCTTTGTGCCTTTTTTTGGGTGATATTACAGAATTTCAAATGGATGAAGTTGCCAAGGAAACCAGAGCTTTTCTGAGGATGCTGGTTTTGTTTTTGGCATCATTCTGACATCCATTAGAGGCTCTGAGTAATCCTCGTAGGTGAGCCCAGCCTGAGACCCTGTAATCGTCAAGCAGACACCTGCTAGTGTTGCTCTCCATCGCAGAAGCCCCAACCCCCATTTTCTAGGGTTTATATGGGTGATCCCCCCCAGGATTACATCTTCTCCTCCCACCAGGCCTCCCCATAATCCTCCTAGATGGTCATCTGATAACAATACATGAACCAATCGATGCAAGACCTAAAGCCTGTCCAGTAAAGGCACATTTTTTATGACATTTCTACCTGGATATGCTGGAAGTATTATATAAAAACTGGATAAAAGGAGCTCTCACATCACTAATTATCTTCGCTGTAAAGGAGAAACGTGATGGACAGCTAATAACCATCAAAGAGTGAAGTTAAGCCAAGCCTTATGACCTACAGAAGACTCTTTTGTACACAGCCGTTTAAAAAAAATCACAATGCGTTTGTTAAAATATCTGAAATTCAACTGGTTTCTATGATTCACTCCTACAGCTCAGTAGATCAGCTCATCCTTAAACGAGCATGATCTCACCGACTTCATCCACAAGCCTTTCTATCAGAACGACCTCATGCTGGCACTAAACGGGGGAATATCTGCAGTTAAACGTACAAAAGCTGCAAGACCACAGAAGGAAAAGAACCTGCTAGAATGATTTTATCAACTTTAATTGCGGTTTTAATAAAACAGCACAACTGGAATAGAACATTTAAATGAAGAATACACCAGAAAAGGCAATACTTTAGATTTTATTAAAATATCTTTTTTACGTGTTTAGATGAGGATTCGTGTGTTTTTTTTAAACTATATTTTTTGCTTGTTTCCTATAATAAAACAACCAAGTTATTCTAATGAAAACACCTCTATTTGCTTTTATTATTTTATTGTTTGTGAAGTTTTACGTGCGCATTCCGTTTAATAAAAATAGTAAAATAAAACAATTCTAAAAGTTTTAGAGATTATGGATCAAGATGCTACATTTATTTCACCTTACTTTAAAATTACTTTCAATAATAATAATAATAATAATAATAATAATAATAATAAATATTATGACATAAATCCCCAAATAAATAAAATACAATAAAAATGCATTTAGGTCTAAGCTGAGCCCTTATCCTCTCTGATCTTTCCCTTACTCCCAGCCAACCTAACATTATAACCTTACATAACACCTCTACACCAGCTCCCCTCAGGACTCTTTCCTTTTGGGTCCTTCCTGACCATCAGCGGGTGGAGATGCAGATCAGAGTGGCATGGCTGCAGTGGGGGAATGTCAGGAATTCCCCTTGTAAACACCTCATGCTCCGATGGCCTCCACGCTTTTATCTCCCCGTGCCCATCGCCCTCTTTAATCACCATAATGATTCATTACAACACCCCTTCTCTTCTTCTAACTGCACTTCCTGTGGCCACTGCTTGGTGTAGGGAGGTGGGTTTACAGCCATTTATGGCGGCTTTTTCAACTCTTTATAACAAATTAAAAACAATGAAATATAAAACATCTAAGAAGTTCTGATTAAATCTCAGAGATGGATTAGAGACACCAAGGAGATTAAAAATAAGGAAGAAAGGTTTGGATTAAACTGGTCAAGTTACACTTTTTTTTTCAAAAACACAGAAATAGGAATTGAAATAGCAACGCTTTATTCTGGAAAGGGTATTTTGTTTTGTTTTTCTGCAATAAATCCAGAAAACATTTCTTTTGACTTTAATTTTGACATTGCCTCCTCGTTTATTTTTTGTCACTTAATTAAAGCGGCAATCCAGAGAAAAAACTTTTTTAACTATTATTTCCGATTATAAATCGGTCACTCTGTGTTTTCATGCAGCTGAACATGCAGCTATCGCCTGCATTAACTTCTGATAGAAAATAGATGGTGAAATGCTAGCTGTTGAAAATCCTCACATTTCTATGTCACACTGTAAATTTACATTCATGGCCTCGCCCATCTTGGCTGGTGCTCGCCCACAAGAGGGCACGTTTATGCAGCGAGGAGAGAGAGCAGTGATAGTGACTTTGAAACATGGCTGAACGCGACCTGTTAGCCAATCAGAAGTGAGGTAGGTGCATATTAGACACTCAATATATAAAGTAACTTCTGATCAATCCATATCAATTTCAGACTTAAAGTAACGTGCCAATTGAAGCCCCACCTACGTCCGGTTAAACCACGCCCAGTTCTGGTTTAGGCCCCGCCCGTTCTGAGTACAGATACAGATACTCGCTCCTCCCTACTGCATATCATTAATAGTAATGAACAATCCTGCTGTTTTCAGCCCACTTCTGCATCTCAGAACAGAAGCATCATAAGTTTTCTTCTTTTTAACGGGGATTGACAGTGCAAATCTATTGAATAAATGAGTAAACCATACTGTAAAAAAATTATATATAGAATAAACAGCATAAAGTGGGAATAATAATCATTAAACAATGTGTTTTAGCACGCTTGAGCTGTGTGTTCACGAATTGGAGGTGTTGGAAGTAGGGAGAGGGACTTCAAGTGCTATACGCTTTTCCACCTAGATGCTGCCATCTGAGAAGAAACTGTGATTTCTGCTTTTTAAAATGATTCATTAAAATTGAGGTTCTACATGTTTCTTTCCAGGATAAAAAAAAACTTTTTTTTTTTTTAATTGAACTGAATAGACCTGACCCAACTGGGACTAGATGTAAAGTTAAATACAGTCAGAATTAAATTATTTCTCCAATTTGAGGTTGTTCTAACTGCCACACAACGGATACAGTAATAATTTGTCAAAATATTTCCACAGAATTCCCATTTAAATGATCTAAATGATCCATTTAAGGAGCTTTTTCTTGTTTTGCAGCTTGAGCCCATTCTGGGGATTAAAAAAGATGAGGGCCTTCGTTAACACCCCGCTGCATTAATACACGGGAAACAAAACAAGCACAAGCTGGCTTTCCCTGTGGTTGCTTAGGTAAAAATCCCGCTTTGGCCACTTGCTGTTTTGCCAGGCTCAGGAAAAGAAAGCACAAAGTCCATCCTGAGCACACAGTGTGGAGCGTGAGAGGCCCACGGGGGCAGCATCTCACCTCCTGGTGTACCACTCTCCACCAGTCATGAGGGACGCCTGCGTACACCAATAAAACCAGCTTACCGTCCCAGCCACATTCCATCTTCACACTTTCCCATCAGCTTGGACTTTCAGCCACAAGAGTCGCAAACCACAGTTTCCCCTTTTCCTGCAAATTCCAAGATAAGTCCTTGTAAAGAGAGGTCCGCCCCTCTGGATGGGATCGCTGATACTTTCCGGGTGTTTTTCCATTGTTAGTGTGGACTTTTCCTGATAGCAGAGTAGCTGGGGAGAAGGCTTACCGACTACACACTCCACAGATTCCTCCCAAAGCTGGCAACAGATATCAAACCAAGGGACGTGTTCAAACAGAAGTTAGCTTCCATATTTTGTGGGAAATGTTGCAATTTGTTAGCCTAGTGAACTAGACCAAATTCTTGCTTTGCATACATTTATTTACATTCATTTAGTCTGGCTTGCCAGGCTAGCAATTTGTAGTAGGAAAGGGGAAATTCCTACAAGGTAAATAATTTTAATGTTAGTCACTGAGGCTAAGATTGTTAAAGAGATATTTTAGTCACCTTGAGGAGTATTTTTCTGCAAAAATGACCACCTTACTGTTTCCTGAATAGCCTCAGTTGGAAGAAAGAGAGTTTAGGATTGTTGTGCTAACAGTTAAGACTATGCTTCTGCTTCTGCGTCGGTACAGAGACATGCAACATCTTTATTCGCCATTGAGAGGGCACTCCAACAGGCTCGCAAGGATAGATGGAGTCAAACCCACTTTTCTAAACATCTGTTGAACGAGATGGAGAATGCAAGCTTAAGATTGATCAGGACACCGCTTCCTTTAAATTTGCCATTGCACCCTCAAAAAAATATAGAGCCGATATCTAGCGGCACACACGGAGCAGCTTGAACAATACCTCGTGGAAAGACTCTAAAATATGAACATTTTATTCACTCGTGACTGGAGGAGTATGAAGATACGCAGCAAGTGTTTTATTTGTGGATGAAAATGATGGGAAATGTGGGTTCAGAGGTGGTGAGCGTATGAAGAGGATGAGGGACAAATTAGTCTGTTAAAAAATCTCTGAAATACAAAAAAAAACACACACACATTATAAACACAACTATCTTGGACCGGTTGCATGACAGGATACCCCAGAACAGCGCCACGCCCTCTGTTGTTCTAGTGGGAAATTGCTTTGCAACACTCCCCAGGAGACGGAGAAGTATGAGGGCAAAACTTCTCTGTCAATGCACGTGTGTCTCTCCCTCGTGGAGCTGATGCAGAGGCATAAACTAGTCTTCAGGCTGACGAACCCACAGTGAAAGTTATGATTTTCACCCCAAAACACTTCCAAATGATTTAAACTTTCCGGCTGCATTTTTAGGAAGCTCCTTACAGAGATCCTTTCATCCATTTTCAGCCGCTTATCCGGAGGCAGGTTGCGGGGGCAGCAGCCTAAGCAGGGAGGCCCAGACTTCCCTCTCCCTGCCACTTGGGCCAGCTCCTCCTGGGGAATCCCAAGGCGTTCTCTCATCATCCGAGAAACTTCGGCGTGTCCTGGGTCTTCTCTTAGGTCTTCTCCCAGTTGGACGTGCCCAGAAAACCTCACCAGGGAGGCGTCCAGGAGGCATCCTGACCAGATGCCCGAGCCACCTCATCTGGCTTCTTTCGATGTGGAGGAGCAGCGGATCTACTCCGAGCCCCTTCCGGATGACCGAGCTTCTCACCCTATCTCTAAGGGAGAGCCCAGCCACTCTTCGGAGAAAACTCATTTTGGCCGCTTGTATCCACGATCTCATTCTTTGGGCCACTACCCAAAGCTCATGACCATAGGTGAGGGTAGGAACGTAGATCGAACGGTAAATCAAAAGCTTCGCCTTCTGACTCAGCTCTCTCTTCACCACGACAGATCGGTACACTGCAGATGCAGCACCAATCTGCCTATTGATCTCACGCTACAGTTTTTCTTCACATGTGAACAAGACCCCGAGATACTTAAATTCCTCCACTTGGGGCAGGACCTCATCCCTGACCCGGAGAAGGCATTCTACCCATTTCCGACTCAAGACCATGGTCTCAGATATAGAGGAGCTGATTCTCATCCCAGCTGCTTCACACTCGGCTGCGAACTGCTCCAGCGAAAGCTGAAGATCACGTTCTGATTAAGCCAACTGGACCACATCATCTGCAAAAAGCAGAAACCTGATCCTCAAGCCACCAATTCAGATCTCCTCCACACCTTGGCTGTGGCTAGAAATCCTGTCCATAAAAGTTATGAACAGAAATGGTGACAACATGCAGCCTTGGTGGAGTCCAACTCTCACTGGAAATGAGCTTGACTTACTGCCAGCAATGCTCTGACACCGGTCATACAGGGACATAACAGCTCGTTTCAAAGGGCCTGGTACCCCATACTCCCGGAGTACCCCCCACAGGGACCCCCCATGGGATGCGGTCGACCGTCATCTCCAAATCCACAAAACACATGTAGACTGGTTGGGTGAACTCCCACGCAACCTCCAGGACCCTCCTAAAGGTATAGAGCTGGTCCAGTGTTCCACGGCCAGGACAAAAATCACACTGTTCCTCCTGAATCCGAGGTTCAACAATCCAATAAAGCATTAAAAAATACAAATGTTTGTAATTATGTAAAAAAAAAAAAATCACCTCATTCCTGAATAACATCATTAGCAGCACAAAAACCAAGAGACATTTCTTTATGTTTTGCATGCAAGCGGCCATTTGTTCTCAAGCAATGATTCTCCATTTTATTTAGAATTTGATATTTTTTGACAAATTTTTAGCCAAGTGACAGCCCATCTTCCAACAACTTAAGCCTATTTCTCAAAATGACCATTTGTTCCCATTTCTTTAGTTAAACCTAAATAAATGTCAAACATAACTCAATTTAGCAAGCATAAACTAATATTTTAGCTCCAGCAATTAGCATTGTAACCAGGTGTGTTTTCTACTGTTTATTAATAATGGAACCAAACAGCCTTAGTTCTATAACTTTGCTAAAGTCTGTGGAAATATAGGTCTACATGCAAGTCTGAATCTTTGGATGCAACATATAAATACATTCTTCTGTAAGTCCTTTGGTCTAATGGTCACTGAGCATGAACATAAATGTCTCCATTAGTGTTGAGAGCGTCCCTCATATGTTCTCTAATACCCATTCATGGTATAACAGCTTGGCAGCTCATAGCCCTGTGGAAGCTGTCAGTTACAGATGACCCCACTCCCTCCCCCACTCCCTCCCCCACCACAGCACACATGGCACTGGAGGATTTCCCCCCCAACAGAACAAAGGAGTGGGGGGTTTGAGAGGCGAACCAGGGACCAAACATTCCTGATGGTGGCTGGCAGGTTCAATTAGTCCACTTTAAAAAAAAACTCTGGGCTGCAGGTCCCACACTGGGATGTTTGGTAATTTAAGATGTTCTAATTTTGTCTGATTTGATGATGTTTTCTGAAAGACGCTTGAGGATAATCATTAAATTTCTTAAAAACTTTTAACAGGAATCAAAAGTCAAGACATGATTTGTGAAATCCCACAATAACGTAAAAAAGACCCATCATCTTCCAGATCAGCATCCCAACTTCGGATTTTTTTTTCCCCCATTTCCAACATCCAGGCTGTCCAAGACAACACTGGGATACTCTCCGTTGATAGGGTCTGAATTTGATGCAGATACATTTTCTGCAGCTTCATGATTTAATGCTCAAACCTCTCCTGGCTGACTCAGTCACTGACAATTTCCTGGAAAAGCCTCTATCAATAAAAAAGGGATCAGTAAGCTGAGGATGAAGTAGGTACCCACCTATGACACAAGGTGCTCTGTAACGTCGGGTACTTGGCGTATCCGAGACAAACAGTCCTGGAGCTGCGGGGACGGACTTCACACCATCCAGGCTCACATGTTGCCCGGATCCCTGCCGAGAAACGTCACAATCATCCGCCGGTTGGAGACGCGAGCTGAGCCCCGGAGACGAGCTGCTGGCTCGGGTGAGACCTGCACTAAATGCGCATGGCGCCTCCCCTCGTCGGGCTTCTGGACATCATGTGAGCCCCCCTTTTCATCCCCCACATCGCTGACGCCACAACCAGCCGGACATGAAGCAACTCTTCCTTCCCTCCCCCGTGATCCCGCGGCCGCCGGTGATGAAACGCTGATCCGCGGTGGCTCCGTTACGCACGCACGGTGCGCAGGACGCCAGTGCCACCCACAAACAGGACTAAAGTGGTGAGTGTACAGAATTTTAATCAGGGCTGCAGCAGAGTTTCCTCCCTCCCTGGTCGTGGTGAAACTCAAGCCTTTCAGGTGTCTCACACGGGAGTGATGTAACGCTGAAGAGTCAATAAAAGTCAGCTCCTGGACTCCTGCCAGACAGCACTGAGGGCAAATTAGCTCACCTGAATGGGACACCTGTTGATAAATAATTAGACAGAAATCCCTCCTCACACCCTGACCTAATAAAAACTGTTTTACCTGAGAGGAAACCCTCTAAATGTAGTTATTCTGATATTTTCTTGCTTTGGTTCACAAAACACTAAAACAAAAATTACATTTTAGGCATAATTTGTGCTCAAAAACCTTCAATACTGATCCTAATCTCAAAATAACCCCAATAGTTGATCAGTGCTCGTAATTCTATTTGATTGGTTTAATGTGTGGAACTAGAATTGTGAAAAGAAATATCCAAATGAACTAAAACAAAAACTATATTTGAAGTGTGATGATAGAAATGTTAAAGCTGCTGCCAGTGTTCCATTAGTCACCATGGTATCCAGAAGCTCGTTAAAACATTCACTATCAGCCGTTTCCTGATCAGAAAAGCCCTCTGCTGCCAGCGTTTCTACTGTTTTTTGAAGAGTGACAGAATATTGTGCTCTATGATGATGTCAATGCCAAAACAGCGGCTAGACTCACGTCTTACATCAGGAAGAATCCGCATGTTTCTACTTTATCCGTTCTTTCATAATCCATTGTTGAATTGTGATCGGCAGAAGCTTTTCCGGTTTGCGCCTCGCTTTTTTTTTACAGCAGCGGCCCAAAACGATCTCCTAACACATGGATTTTCTGCTACCTGTGTCGTCTGCATAGCAGTGGTAGGAGAAGCCATGTGATCGAATGATCTCGCCCAGTGAGGTGGTGTATATGGCAAAGAGAAGAGGTCCTAGTACAGAGCCTTGGGGGACTCCTGTGGCAAGATGGTGCACGGTAGAGGATTGTCCAAGCCAAGATACACTGAATAATCGTCCTGTGAGGTACGATTCAAACCAGGCGTGTGCTTTCTCTGTGATGCCCATGGTAGAGAGTGTGGACAAAAGGAAGCCATGGTTGACAGTGTCAAATGCTGCCGATAAGTCGAGCAGGATAAGCACTGAGGATTTGCCTGTCGCTCTAGCTTCTTTTAAGGATTCAGTCACTGCTAACAGAGCAGTTTCAGTGGAGTGGCCCTTTTTGAACCCAGATTGGTAAGGGTCAAGCAGACAGTTTTGTGAGAGGTATTCTGTGATCTGCTTGAAGGCCACCCTTTCAATGATTTTGGACAGAAAAGGGAGGAGAGATAGGTCGGTAGTTCTCCACATGATTTGGAGGAAGAGATGTTTTTTTAAGCAGCGGGTTAACCTGAGCATGCTTGAGAGAGGTGGGAAATGTACTGGATGTCAGTGAAGCGTTGATAACATGTGTGACTGCTGTGGCTACTGTAGGAGCAATGCTTGGAGCAGCTTAGTCGGAATGGGGTTGAGTGGGCATGTAGTAGGGCAGCTGCATGTGAGAAGCTTGGACACACAGTTCTCAGTGAGAGGGGAAAAAGAGGAAAATGAAGCAGTAGGGCTTGAGATGGTTGGGCTAGGAGTTTGTGGTAGTAAATGTTCAGGAGTGGCCAGTTGAATAAACTGTTTGCTTATAGCTGCCACTTTGCCAGTGAAGAATGAGGCAAAGGTGTCAGCTGATAGATTGTTGGTAGGAGGTGGAGACGGAGGGGTGAGCAGACTTATCCGTCCATATGGGAGGGAACAGGAATAGCTAACCTCAGCCGGCACGCTGACATGAAACGGCACATTGTTAAAACCACAGAACAACACAGATGGGGCAAACATCTGCTGTTTACTGCATGGACATCGTCTGACTAATAAGTGGGTGATGATCACAAAAAATTTTTACATTTGTGCACTCAGTTAAAAATGTCTAACAGCTCTAATATGTGTAGGCTAGGATTTTATTTTGAAAATGTTAAACAAAGGGGGATGAATTCTATTTACGATGCACTTGTCTTCTTTATTTTGAAACTTACACAGCCAAAACTTTTTAAATAAGACTTAAAAAAGATGTTTACACCCTGTTAGATAATTTATGCTTGTCTTCCCCCTACAGGCCATAAAACCACCCTGCAGCCTGTTACAAACCATGACTCAACATTTTCTAGCCCCACATCACCACTAGTCTGTCAGCAGCAGATGCAGTACTTTAATCTAAAATGACAAAAACAGATGCTGAATGTTTTTTATTTTATACAAGACAATAACAATTTCTTTTTACAGTCGATGTGTTTCAGTTCACACGGCTCTTTTTCAGCCTGGAGGTGTCGGATGATGCTTTGCGTTTACATGACGGAGTAGATGATGCTTCTTCAGAGGGAGGTGCACTCAGGAGGTACAGCTCAAGAGGTGGAGTCGGCTCCTTAAAGGGGAAACAATAAAAACAAATAAAACAAGTTTCTTTACATTTATGTAAAAGTGATTAAGAAATTTAAATCCCATGAATTGTAACAATAACTAAGCTTTTGCCTGGGAAGTAAGCTTCAAAATGTGGTTATTCTGACCTTCCCTTGTTCTGAATTAAATAAATACACTTTAGACATAATTTGTGCTCAGATAATCTCAACTATTGATGCTAATCTCAAAATGTTTTCTATAGTTGCTGAGCAGTCAGCACATTTGCTCACATTTGGTTGATTTACTGTTTATTAATTAAGAAACTAGAATATTTCTGGAGAAATTCTGACCTAACCCCAAGTAAAAATATTAATGTTGCTGCCACTGATTCATTAGGGTAACCATGGAAACCACACTCCTGTGGCGTTTGCTCCCAAGTGGACAACTTAACAAGAGGCAGACAGGAACAAAAAAGTAACCCCCGCTTTCCACTGGATACGTAAGCGGTGCGTAACGTAACAGACGCATTTCAATTCAATTCAAAGATACTTTATTAATCCCAGAGGGAAATTAGAGTGAGCTCCCTCCCCATGGAAGGGAGCATTTAAGACCTGAAACAGTAGCAAAAGCGTTCAGCTCAGCTGGTCCCACGAGGTCACGAATCCAACAGAGAATTGCAACGCAACACACGATTTTGTGGTAAAGTTAAAAGTTAAAGCCCCATTAGTTGTCTCTGCATTGACCCATCTATGTGGGGAGCGGTGAGCTGCAGACACGGCCATGCTCGGGAACTATCCCCCAATCCAACCCTTGATGCCGAGTGTCATATGGGAAGGTATAAGTCTTTGGTATGCAGACTCGTACCAAAGACAGGGTCAGGGCAGACTCTCGTACCACTAGGCCACTGAGCTGCCTTTGCACTAGGGCTGCACGATATTAGGAAAACCTGCGATATGCGATAACAGTGATTAATATTGCGATGGCGATATTACTTGCGATAAATAAAAACTTAACTCAGGAACAAAAATAATCAAAAACAAAGAAATAAAAAAAAAAAGACAAAAAATTCATGAAAATGAGAAAAGCAAAAGATGTGAGGAAAAGAAAATGAACAAGAAAAGGCGATCAGTGGATCCCGGGAAAAGCAGAATCAGCAGAAAGGGCAGAACAAAGCTAACTCAGGAGTTTGCTAACCATCAAAATTAAGTGCCGCCCGCCTCGGGGGCGGGCATCTAACCTATGAGAACCCACCCAATTGGCCCAATGGGTGAAGAGCTCCATTTGATTTGTTAAAAAAACATCATGCTTTCGTTTGATTGACATAATTTATTATGTGTAGCAAATATGTGAGCTGACCATTCATTGCAATACTCATCTGTTCTTTGCAATATGCATATTGCGCATGCTGATATCGCGATAACGATATATTTGCAGTATATTGTGCAGCCTTACTTTGCACGGAGACTGCATCGCGTATCGAAGATCTGTTGTTTATTTTCTGTTGGCTCCGTTTACCTCAGCTACGGAGGTTTCACAGGAAACTGGAAAGCTGCATGTGACTTTGCTTCATTTTTACTTGTCCTAATGTTTTGCAAGGCTTTCATGTTCGACTTCCTGTCCGGTCTGAACTGCGTAGCTTGGCGGCTTTTCTGGATGCTTAATGCGTAAAGTTAGGGCAGCAGTAGCTCAGGTGGTACAGCGGGTTGCCTCATGATCATAGGTCATGGGTCTGATTCCAGCTCCCGCCAGGGGTATTCTGCTGTTGTGTCCTTGGGCAAGACACTTCACCCAACTTGCCTGTGTTGGTGGTGGTCAGAGGGGCCGACGGCACCAAATGGCAGCCTCGCCTCTGTCAGACCTCCCCAGGGCGGCTGTGGCTACACTAGCAGTGTGTGAATGTGAGTGTATGAAAGCGTGTGTATTATTATTATTATTATTAAAAAGTAGACAGCACCCATCTATTTAAATGGCAGCTAATTACATTACGCAATGCTTACATATCTGGCCAAGTCAGCCTCAAGCGATCTCCGCAGGAAAACGTAACGTTGAATTGGAATAATTCCTGAACTTCCAAGGCGCTGATGGTCACGTCTATTTTTTGTTTTCTGTAGGAGACGTGATGCATTGAATCAACCCTTCACCTTTTGTTTAGAAAGAAATTTTGAGTTACAATATGAACAAAGTCCGTGGAAATAAGGGTGTGTGCTCTCTGAAGGGATGTGAGAGAAAACCATAGATCCTGCAGCGATGAGACAAACACCTACATGTTGATGTATAATTTGTACGTGTACTAAAACCACAGCAAGAATTAGAAGTTTCTTTGCAAAAACTTGTAACAGTAACTACACGTGACCCGAACTGGGGAGCGGAGCGGACCTGCATCAGGTAATCTGCGATGTACTCTGGTTTCAAGCATGTCACCCCTTGAGCCGTCGCCTCTGCTACGTCCACCCTGAAATCTGCAGGTTTCAGACGACTGAAGTCTGCAAACAGGTGAGTGGCCTCTTTGTATAGAGATGAGGAGGGACTTGGCAGCACCTGCAGAGAAACTCCACGTCAAAAAACTGAGCCCAGAGGTCCGGAAACATAAAGAAACAGAGGTTCCCAGTTCAGGATGTTCATATTAATGATTTTCTTTACTGTAAAAATGTAATTAGTTGTTTTGTGGCTTATTACTTAAACATTTTTAATACTGCTGAAAGAATAAGAGTGTTATTAAATCAGTGCTGCCTCCAATAAGCAGCATCTTCTGTGTCTGGGATGTAAACGCCATGACCGACCTTGGCCCCGCCTGACTGCAGTAACCTCCTGAATCCGGACTCTCTACTCTGGTCGATGTTCAGCATCACGCTCCAGCCGCTGAAAGCTCCCTGGAAAACACATTTTTCTCCAGGTGAGACACCGTGTCTAGCACCGCGAGGACACAGCGAACCGGTCTGGATGTACCTTCTGTTCAGAGCTTCCCTGCAGAGCTTTTCTCCAGCGCATGGCCGACGAGGCCAGCCTCCTTTGCTGAGAGGTGATGGAGGGTAAAGCCTCCAGGATGGAGCTGCTGCCCCATTCATACTCCTCCTCCTGCCCCACAGCAGGAGACCAAAGGAGAGTGAGTGCTGTGCTTAGCATAAGTTTTACTGGTGAAGGACTGAGGCGGACTCTCACCTGGACAAAGTGTCCCAGGGAGCGACAGACTTCCAGGTAGGAACGATGCAGGATCCATTTACCGGCAGCCATCGCTGCAAGATACTTCTCGTTGCGCAGCGGAGTCCCTACGATGATGTGAGAGCAGCTGGGGTCGAAGGACTGCTTGTCCAGGACAACACCACCTAAAGTAGGACAAAGAACAGAGAGACTAAGACACACTGGACCTGGTCAGGAGACACGAACTAGACCAAGCTAAAATAAAAATCATATTCCATCTCCTGCTTTTGGTTTCTGTGACCAGGTTGGAGCTCTGAGGGACTCACCCAGCTCCTCTATCAGCTGGCTGTAATCGATGCGCTCCTGAGGACTGAGGGAGGACAGCTGGAATCTGGGAGGCTGCTTTTCTTCTCTTGTCTCGTCCTGATGCTCCGGAGCTCCTGCTGGTTTAGTGAGGGGAAAGGCGATGCTAGGAGCTCTAGGAGTGAGGATGTCTTCCTCTGGTTCCTCTGGTGGAGGGGTCATGACCTTCTGACCCAGCTGCTGGTTAATAACCTCACAAGCAGCTGTGTGAGAACAGTGAGATGCATCTTTAAGCTGCATTACTGTAAACAAGACCTCAGCTTTTAGAAACCGGTAAAACGTGAAAACGTTGCTTCGTATCAAACATTACATGAAGCTTCAATAAGCTGGAAAACTAATGAAACACTCAGTTCTTTAGTTCTGTGTATGTCTCACGGATCTTACCGATCTCCACCAGCTCCGAGTCCGTCATGGAGTCCTTCAACTGTGATCTGGTCTCTGCGGAGGGAGGGGGTGCAGGTGCAGCAGCAGCCGTGAGAGGTTCGGAGTGTTGCGACGGACTTCCAGGCCACTGGAAGTTATCCGCCAGCTTCGCCCGCTCCTCCCGGGCCGTTGGGTCATCCCAGACGATCTGCTCGCTCTGAGACGGCTCCGTGTTGATGTCCAGGGCTGCTTCTCTGGAAACTCTGGGGGGAAAATATGTAAACACTAAAGTTTCACATAGAAATATCTTAATTAGCTTCAACAGAAAGCCACCTGAGAGCTTCCAGGGTCCGTCTGCTCCCGCCGCGGCTGGCTCGGCTCACGTCGGGTGTGTTCGGACCAGAATCAGCACCTCCTGATCCCATTCTAGCCAGTCTCACAGACGTGCGTCTGCCCGTCGTTATCTTGGTGGCGGACATGATCTCCTGCAGCTGTCGTTGCAGGGTCTCCCCCATTTCCAGCATGTCTGAAACGTGAAACGGCCTCTGTTACCTCGTGGTTCGTCATAAACGCAGAAGCAGCTAGAAGACGGACACACGTCACCTCTCTTCTCATCGTGATCGTCGCCTCCGTTACTCACAGCTGAGGTTGCTCCTGCAGCGGGGAGCTCAGACTGACGGGACAAACAGAACCGTCAGACATGAGATGGAAAACATCAGTTGCAACACTAGACCAATGCTACCTTGTCAAGTTTGTCTCGGAGCCGTGTTCGTGGGAAAGGCGGAGACTTCTGGGAGCTGCTGGGCACCTGGCTCAGGTTTAGGCTCATCTTGGGGTTGTAGGTGAACGGATACAGAGACTCTGAGACGTGCTTCTGCTCCTCGGCACACTGAACGCACGCAAACACGCACACACACGAGTGTTTTATTTGTGTCAAAATCAAAAATCTGTACACAGAAATTAGACTTTTACAAAACTTTACTGAATAAAGCCGACTTTAAACATTTTTGAGACTCACAGCGTGCAGCCAGTACTGAGATACCACATGCAGCCCTCTCTCCTTCACCCCTCTGTACTCCCTGGAGCTGTCCCCCACTCGACCCTGGTAGATGTAGTGGGTCACCGTGTCATCACAAGCCCATCTGAAAAACAAAGGTGTTTTTGAACTGATCTGGTTATCCCAGTAATAGTCCCAGTGTAGCCCCATTTGTTTATATTGTTTAAAACAGAAACATCCATCAGGTTAGTAACTAAAAACTCCCAGAAGGCCGAGCACCTGAAGTCAGCTCCCAGCGAGGCAGCAACAGCGTTTAGTTCGCTCTGCATTTTGCTGAGCTTCTTCGCCACACAGATCACAACACCAGTCAGAGGTCTGGCTGCTGCTTCTGGAGCCTTTGGGATAAAATGATGATGAATCACATTTATATTAGTTACAGGTGCTGAAAGAGAAACTCCAACCTTTTCAAGAGCAGAACCAAAAGCAGGTTTAGGACATATTTACCTCCTTCTCTGTCGTCTTGGCCAGCTGTGGGCTGGCGGTGACGGCCTGGAGGTCTGACATGTTCCCACGTGAGCTGTTGGCCAGAGCCACCTTCAGATTCCGGTTGATGACATCAGTCAGCGGCGTCTCCACCTTCTCTCCTGGCTTTGATCGCCCACCAGGCGTTTCCAAAGCTCCCAGTGCATCCTACAAAAATAAAACCCAGCCTATGACATGTTGTAGTTTGGAATGTTCTGTGTGGATGTCTGCTGCTGTCTGACGTCTGACCGCGACGTTAAACGACGGTCTGAAGAGCTGATCTCTGCTCAGGAACCGAGATGGCGTGTCCAGCTGCAGAGGAGGCTCCTTCTGAGGCCGCCTCCTTCTACTGTCCTCCTGGTTTTGTTCGGGTTTCATCTCATCCAGCACGGAGCGAAACACTTTGCTTTGGAAGCGGCCCAGGTCTAGCGGGGTGACGGCTTTCCCGCCCTGCGGACCCAGCAGAGGGATTTCAGGGGAACGTGGACGCGGCGGAGGCAGGATGGGTTTCTGGGAGCCGCCCACAAAGCTCTCTTCATCTCTCTCTACAAACGAGGGACATTTGAGGTGTTGGGAAAGCAAAGACAGGTTTTGTTCTCAAACGAACCAAAAAAATAAATAAATAAGAGAAAAACCTGGAGAAGGAGGTAGGTCAACCAGGTACTTCTCCTCCGCCGCCCTCTTGCCCGTACGAGCGGATTCCAGAATCCAGTGCATGGTGACAGCAGGGAGCCCCCACTTCTTTGCTGCCTGGTACTTTGTGCCTTCAGGAGTCTGCAACACCAGGTGAGTGCTGGCCAGCATCCCTTTCTTCTGGTTGGCCAGGCGCACAAAATAATCCTGCACACTACAGCGGGGGGGGGGGGGGGGGGGTCATCAGTGATTCGTTTATGAAGCAATGAGGCAAATGTCCCATTTCAGATCTATGATGCATCAGGTTAAACTCAGAAAACAACGAGCAGGTAGTGGTCGTACTTTGCTCCGAGGTACTTGGCGAGCTCCACCAGGGACTCCCTCTCTGCTCCAGTAAACTGGCTGACGGAGAGGACGCAGTCCTTTAGAGGAAAATGTCCCTCCCTCACAGGGACGGGGACAAACAAAGGGTTGGCGGACAGACGTAGAACACACTCCTTCTCCACACACATGGCCTGAAATCAACAACAGGAAAACTTTAATATAAAAAATGCCAAAGTCTCAAAAGAAATAAAAGTTTTTGTTCCTTTGCTACCAGCCATGTATCCGTGACGACCTCGTCCACCGTGGCCTCCACCGAGCGGCCCAGCAGCGGAACCACGGCGTAGTCCGCCACCGCTCGAGTGCGGGCCGGCAGTACCTTGCCTCCTCGTTCTGAAACCAGCACGGAGAACTGCGCCTCGGCTTCAGGATCGAAACCCACAAGGAGGAAGGACCTGCCGGCAAACAGGCCTTCCTGCTGGGTCGAGTCTTGCGTTGCTCTGGTATGATTGGGTTCCCACGACTCGGGTTGGGGCTCTGCAGCGGTGCTTATGGACTCCCTGTTCTCTCCTCCTGGTGGTGGCACGTCAACTTAAAACACAAAAATGTACTTTGTTTAAAAACCCCCACATCTAATGCAGAATAAATCCTGCAAAAGCACACTCCCACCAACTGTTGGGTCGCCGTCCATGTACTGTGAGAGCAGATCCTCATCTGCCGTCTTTAACCTGGGAGTGGTTGGACTGGGAACAAGCGGTCCGGCTGATGATCTGGGAGGTGGCACGGATGCTGCAGCTGCAGCAGGAGGAAGGCAGTCAGGGTGGAGGTATCCTTCCTCTGGGAGCAGAGCGCCTCTAGAGAAACTATCCAGCAGCCACTGCACTGTTACCACATGAGGCCTGGAGAATCACAAAAACACACCTAGTTTATTTCAGGTCAGTTTCACGTTTCTAGAATTGTTTATTTTATGTTCCGGTTTTTGCAGATCAAACAAAAGATCAAATGTTTTATTAACCCTAAAAAGCATACTGATTTATTTAGGAATACATTTTTTAATACCTTGATTGTTTAAAAGATCAAAACAAGACATTTTAAAAGTTTAAAGCACATTTTTATTGTTTAAATAAGAATTATTTGTAAATTACAGTAAATCTGTAAGGCTTGTCACCACCAGCATTCACACGTTCATTCTGTTTGTTTCACAGCCAGACATTATTATTTCTACCTATAAGTGGCTTTAGAGAGAAACTTGTGGAGCTCCTGGTCCAGCTCTCCCATCACCACATGAGTCAGTTCCTCACAGGGTTGGTTGAAGCGCAGACCTCCGCCAGCGTTTACAAGTCGCCGCAGCTTCTCCAACTTCTTCACCGGAAAGCCACAGAGATACAGCTGTGCAGCAATAGAACAACAATAATATCACCTCAAATTGACTAAAATAACTATAGAGAATAAAAAAGTTTATGTTTTTACCTTACAGCCATCCAAAACATCATCGACAGGACAAACGGTGAGATCAAGGAAATCTACGGGGTCCGACGTCTCCACACGACTCACGGTGGAGTTGGTGAGGGCAGTGTCATTTACCCCAACGCTAGCACTGACAGAAATGTTGCTCAAGCCCAGCAGAGACGGACCATCTAGAGACAAAATGCAGATGTGATTATTAAAGACGCTCAATTTTTAAATAACTAAAAGACTCGTGGCAAGCAGCCGACCTTGCCGCTTGCTGGTGCCAGTAGGAGTAGAGGTGTGCGGTGCGGAGGTTTTTGATGAACGGCGGTCCACGGCGTACCTGCTCTCATCTTGACAGAAACCCTTCTCTATGCTGTCAAAGAGCCAGTTTACAGACACGCAGTAAACATTCCACTTCTTGGCGCATTCGTACTTCTGACCTGGAGCACCGATAAAACGGATTCTTAGAGGGTTTGTAATAAATCAACAAGTTCCCCAAAGCCGTTAGTGACTTACCAGTTGGTTCACTAACAATCAGGTGTGTGCAGTCGTTCATTTTGAGCTGGCCAGTATATTTAGCTCCATGCTGCTCACAGAGCCGCTGCACCTCCTTACGCTCCAGGCTGGAGAGGCCCGTCACACAAACTGTACAGCCAAGCAACACGGGACACAGATAATCCTCCACTGGCAAGTCTGTATACCTTAAAAGACTGGGAACAAAATGGTGTAAAGAGGTGGTTTTAGAACAAAACCTTTAGAATTAGCCGTTTTTATTTTTTAGTTTAATCAAGCTGAACACCTATCCTGGGTCTTCTCCCAGCAGGCTTTGACCCACGAGGGCAGAAGGATGGGTTTACCCAGGTTGGCAGCCACCAGGTATTTTTTACTTCCAACCTCTCCTGCAATCAGGTGCGTGACAAACACATTGAGATCAAGACTGGCCCGTCCACCCATCAGTTGCACCAGATCCATCACTTCTGTCTGCAGAAACACAAATTAGAAAATAAAAGCAACAGTCTTCAAATTACATTAAGAAGACTAACTAACTAACTAACTAACTAACTAACCCGTGTTGCTTTGTCCAGGCTGGTGCAGGAAATGGTCACATCAGCCATTGCCATATTATACACAGGTTTCTCTGCTTTGGGGACACAGCGCTGATTCTGTAAGCAGTACAGCACCACCAGTGGACTCACGATTCTGCAGCCAAGCTGCAGGACAAACGGAGGCAAAAGAAGAGTTTTCCTCAAAGAGTTTCAATAATCCCAACAGGACTTATAATTTCAGAGTGTGACAAACGGAATCAGACCTGCATACAGTGCAGGAAAGCTGGAGAGGTGAAGCTGCTCAACACAAACAGAGACCTGTCCTTCTGCTTCATCTGCAGCACATCTTCTTCCTTAATGGTTTGTAAATACTTTTCAGACTGCAGCTCCAAAATGGCCTGAATAAAATACGACAGAATTAGAATCACTAAATGCAAATAAATAAACAAACATTAAGCAAGGCAGTGAGATTTACCTCATACGCTTTGGTGGCATGATCTGTCAGAGATCCGTCACTTTCCACAAACTTCACTAAGAGGCATTCCTTGTTTCCTTTAAGCATGTTGAACTTGGAATAAACACAGTATGTTACAGTTGCCACTTGATGGAAGCAGTATCTAAAATTACAGGAATTTATTTATAGACTAAAGCTTCAGCTGTAATAAGTCTTAAGTTACTAGCTAATGTTCACTTTTAGCCTGATCATATCAGCCTAATAACTAAAAACATGGACTATACTCACCTCCTATGGTTGGACTCCGGCTGGTAGTGAATATAAAGACATTTCCGTTTCTACTTAAATTCGGTAAAAACTAACTTTTCTTAACAAACGATGTTGAGTTTTAAATGGCTGCTGCTAACTTAGCCGGTTACAACGTGAAAATGTTTAGATAAAATGTAAAACTCGCTTTTTTAGGACAAACCGGAATAAAATCGCCACAACATTAAATAAATATACAAATAATTTATAGTACGAAAATTTAAGCTAATTGTTGACAGTTCGCGCCTTTCACGGAACTTCCGGTCCTACTTGCTAATCTGTCCGAGTAGAACATCGCCTCTGTGGCTAATAATAATAATAACTATAACATTCCTGAAGAAATTTGGGACCTGCCACCTGGCACAATAAAATGATCATGCATATGTAAAAAAAAGGGACTCTTTAGAGAACCTGTACATATTTAATTGCTTATTATTCAAATGTCATGCAATTTTACAGTGGCACACAATCAAAATGAAAAAAAATATCGGAGTTTTTTGCTAATACTTTTTTTTTGTTGCAAAAATCAAACAGCAGTGTGCTAATCATGTCTATGGCCGTGTTACAAATTTATACACAATAAACAGACCTTTTGCACTGATTACAATATAAAAATAACAATGCAGTAGAGTACTTTAGTAAATGAGGCATTAAAAAGTCCTATCTTACAAAATATCTCCAATGGGCCGAGCCACCTCACCTTCACCTGGTCCTGACAGCGCCACCTCTCCACCTCCGGTGGGCTGTCACTCCTCTTTTCCGTCTGTTTCGACCGGCGCCATCGCGGAACCTCCAATGGGCCAAGCCACCACACCTCCACCAGGTCCAGTGGGCGTTTACGGCGTTATCCCCGCACCTCCGAGGAGCCGTGCTCGTTGCAGATGTCATCGCCATCACCAGCTGTCTCCTGAGACCAGAGTTGTGCCGCCTAACCCAGAGGCCCCTGCTCTGCAACCCAAATCTGAACTCATCCAGTCGTCTGAAGCCAGAGCTGTGCTGCCTGACCAAGAGGCCCCTGCTCTGCAGCCCGAGCCAGAACTCCTGAACTCATCTACAGCCAGAGTTGTGCCCCCTATCTCAGAGGCCCCTGCTCTGCAACCCAAACCTGAGCTCATAAAGCCATCTTAAGTTAGAGTTGTGCCGCCGAACCAAGAGGCCCCTGCTCTACAGCCCAAGCCAAGACTCATGAATCCATCAGACGCCAGAGCTGTGCGGCCTACCCAAGAGGCCCCTGCTCTGCGACCCGCGTCTGAGCTTCATCCTGCTCCAGCGGTGGTCCCGAAGGACGCATCGCATCCTGCTCCAGCGGTGGTCCCGAAGGACGCATCACATCCTGCTCCAGCGGTGGTCCCGGAGGACGCATCGCATCCTGCTTCGGCGGAGGTCCCGGAGGACACTGTGCATCCAGTCCAGCTCGTCCACGAGCCCCCAGTCCAGCCCGTCCAAGGGGCTCCGGTCCAGTCCATCCAAGAGGCTCCGGTCGACGCCTCCTGTCCAAGGGTTGACGCCTCCTGTCCAAGGGTCGACGCCTCTGAGGTAGACGTTTCCAGCTCTGGGGTAGACGTTTCCGGCTCCAGCTCTGAAGTCGACGTCTCCCCGCCTTCAGCTCTGAAGTCGCTGTCTCCCCGCCTCCTGTCTCGAAGTCGACAGAAGTAGATGTTAACAGCTCCAGCTCTGAAGTCGACGTCTACCTGTCTCCTATCTCAAGGTCTACGTCCCAAGTCTCAAGCGTTTCAGTCTCCCAAGTCTCAAGTGTTCCAGTCCCTGTCCCAGTTTCACGTGTTCCAGTCCCTGTCCCTGTCCCAGTTTCACGTGTTCCAGTCCCTGTCCCTGTCTCACGTGTTCCAGTCCCTGTCCCTGTCTCACGTGTTCCAGTCTCTGTCCCTGTCTACAGAGACCCTTCCTCGTCCGCTGAAGTCCCTTCCTCGGCCTCCCCCTCCAAAGCCCCCGATCCCCAGGGTTTCCTGTTCCCGCCTCCTGGTTTCCCTTCGCCGGCCTCCTAGACTTCCCCTGGTCCCGCCTCCTGGTTCCCCGTCGCCGGCCCCCTAGACTTCCCTGGTCCCGCCTCCTGGTTCCCCGTCGCCAGCTCCCTAGGCCTTCATGGTCCCGCCTCCTAGTTCCCCGTCGCCGGCCCCCTAGACTTCCCTGGTCCCGCCTCCTGGTTTCCCTTCGCCGGCCCCCTAGACTTCCCTGGTCCCACCTCCTGGTTCCCCGTCGCCGGCCCCCTAGGCCTTCATGGTCCCACCTCCTGGTTCCCCGTCGCCGGCCCCGAGACTTTCATAGCCCCGCCTCCTGGTTCCCCGTCGCCGGCCCCCTAGACTTCCCTGGTCCCACCTCCTGGTTCCCCATCGCCGGCCCCCTAGGCCTTCATGGTCCCGCCTCCTGGTTCCCCGTCGCCGGCCCCCGAGACTTTCATGGCCCTGCCTCCTGGTTCCCCGTCGCCGGCCCCCGAGACTTTCATAGCCTTGCCTCCTGGTTCCCCATCGCCGGCCCCCTAGACTTCCCTGGTCCCACCTCCTGGTTCCCCATCGCCGGCCCCCTAGGCCTTCATGGTCCCGCCTCCTGGTTCCCCGTTGCCGGCCCCCGAGACTTTCATGGCCCTGCCTCCTGGTTCCCCGTCGCCGGCCCCCGAGACTTTCGTGGTCCCGCCTCCTGGTTCCCCGTCCCCCGAGACTTTCGTGGTCCCGCCTCCTGGTTCCCCATCCCCCGAGACTTTCGTGGTCCCGCCTCCTGGTTCCCCGTCCCCTGAGACTTTCATGGTCCCGCCTCCTGGTTCCCCGTCGCCGGTCCCCGAGACTTTCATGACCCTGCCTCCTGTTCCCTCCTCGCCCCGGCCCCCGAGACTTTCATGACCCCGCATCCTGGGTCCAACCTTCTCTCCTAAACGTGACAATAACGTAAAGCAAGAAAGGAGAAAAAATGTATACCAAATTAACACAAAAGGAGAATATTTACATGACTACAAACACATACGTACATACATACATACAAACATGTATTTAGACATATGCATACATACACTCTCACGTGAGATGTGCGGTGCTACGTACAGTGCCTGCGTGCGTGAGATAATAATCGAATAATAATAATTATAATAATAATAATAACGCCCACAACACTAACACGACAAGTGCTTCACTTCATCTGGAATGCGTTCCTTTGTGACATCATCATAGCTAATTAGTCAAGTCAGAAGTCAGAGGGCATAAACAGCAAGCGGTAAAGCCAGCAACACCTTAAGAGCCTACGACCTTTTTTAAAAACCGAAAATGAACTCATTGAAGAAAGTTATTTTTGAAAATACAGTTTCCCTCGGGAGGAATGTTTTCATACCAACACTGCTAAAATATATATCTGACATCAGAGCAGATCAGTGGCAAATACTGATTTCTGGTATGGCAGGCACAGAATTTGAAGGCATCTTTAAAGAAATGGCTACTGAAATGTATCGGGTAGCCTCAGCACAGGTTTTATGCATTATGCTGCCTTAAATTTGTACATATATGCAGACCATGGGAGATTATAAGTGTGTCGTGTCTGCTAGGGTGGAAGACGTAAGTGAGTGCATGGCACTTGTTTTAGGGATGCCGTATGAAAAGTCCAGCAGTGGTATGACTTTGAAGGGAGTCCTGGATAAAGAAGTCTCTCAAAATGTAAATAAGATTGTATCTTCTATTATAAAGAGCAAGACAATTCCAACAGTGCCATCAGATTATGTCAGAGACTCCACGCTCTGTTCTGGCACGCTACGATTCATGTAAAATGTAAATAAGATTATATCTTCTAGCTGCTTAAACCCTTGAAAAAAATGCCCTTCTCCCCTTTTTCATCTAATGATCACGGTTAACAGGAAATGAATGCTGCAGAATCTGTCTGCTTTTCTCCTGAGTGGTAAGTCTTGTGTGAGCGCGTGCTCGCAACTTGTTTTTAGACTGAGAAACTCCGACAGTGCGTCTACCACTGCCTCAGCGCTGCTCTCCATCCACCAGCCAACGCCTCTATCAGAAGCGTTTCCTAACTGGAAGTGTGCATGAGATATGTCTCCACCCATGCCTTGACTCTCACTTTAATGTAATGTTACTAGGACTAGACAAATATCATGTTTACAGAAATGCTGTCTGAATGATGTTTGCTGAAACTGATTGCTAAACCTGCTTAAGAACGACGCTAACACTAAGCTGAAATCATAATATTAGGGTGATGTAGGCTCCACCCACTCGGTAAATATGCCTCCCCGGCTCCTCCCACTAGTTAGTATAAATTCAATGTGTGCCTTTGATTTTAGGCTCCACTCCACTATACCTATTGAGTTAGGTTTCCCCTGCTGTTTCTAAGGTTTCCCCTGCTGTTTCTATGTCTTGACTAATTTCTGGCTCATTACTTTCTTCAGACTTTTGATCCCAGGGAAATGGATGCTGAGAACGTTTTATACTTAGCCCCTCCAATAAGGCTGCCATTTTCTCATCCTTGTCCTGATTTGGATCTTCCTGCTTATAATCAGATAATAATTGTTTTGTTTCTGCTAAAGCTGTATTGAGCTGTTCTAGCTTATCTGTTAATCGTTCACAGAAAGCTTCACTTTGTGCCAGTTTTTCACAAATTGACTGGTTATATTTTTCCATCTGAGCCAACGTGTTCTGTTCCATCGAAGTCACCTGGGGAATCAACCGTCTTTGTTGCTTTAACCTTTTTAACCTCCAATCATCGAAGGTTATGTCCGCATCCAACCAAGCCTGTACATCTTTCTCTTCTCCATTTAACAAAAGGTTTTCTATACGCCTTTGACTTTTCAAGGTTTCTAGCGTGTCCTCAAGTTCCTGAATTTTTCTTTGATTTTT